GGTCCCCGCGGCGCAGCTCCGGCCCGGCCCGGTCCCCGCGGCGCGGCTCCGGGTCGGACCCAAGCCCGGCAACCCCAGCCGGAGCGCGGCTCGATTCCTGGGGGCGGGGCTTGCTGCAAGCCCCACCCCCAGGAATCGGGCCCCGCTGCTGCTAAAGCCGGCCCTGCCGGCAAGAGCCAGTACGCTGTGCCGGACCGCACTGGCTTCCGTGGCAGGGATTTAAAGGACTCGGAGCTCCCCACCGCTGCGGGGAGCCCAGAGCCCTTTAAATTCCCCCCCCCGCAGCTCCGGCAGCCGGGCTGAGACCGGGCCTGGGATTTAAAGGGCTCAGAGCTCCCTGCAGCCGCCGGAGCCCCGAGCCCTTTAAATCCCCACCGCAGCTCCAGCTGCCAGAGCTGCAGTGGGGATTTAAAGGGCCCGGAGCCCTTTAATTTGCCCCTGAGGCTCCCAGCCACCTCTGCACCTGGGAGCCCCAGGTTGATTTAAAGTCCCTGGGGCTCCCAGCCACAGCTAATGCCCCAGGGCTTCTAAATCTTGAGAGCCCCCGCCTCTTCCGGTTGAGGCCACGCCCCCAGGGCTCCGGGAGTATGGGTAAGTCCTGTAAGTTACTTTCACCCCTGGGTGAGAGCACTGGGAGCCCTCCTGTTCAAATCCTTTCTCCCCATCCGCCACAGGGGGGAACTGAGCCTGGGCCTCCCACATCCGGGTGGCTGCTGTGACCCCTGGGCTACATGCTTAATGAAGGGATCACCCCACACTCCCCTCCGCTGGCTGTTTTCTGTGCAGCTTGACGTCTGCCTGACCCATTCTCACATGAGCACAGGCACCTGAACCAGCTGGCTCGGGCAGAGGGGTTCCCAGCGGTGCCTTCGCAGGCAGGGAGAGGTGCTGGGAGGCTGCTCAGTGCACCCAGGTCTGGGGTTCACCTGGCTTCCACCTGCCTCCGTTCCAGGGAGCCTTGCCTGTGTCAGCTGGGGGGGGCAGCCCCTCCCCCCTCCTACCCCATGGGCTGGGGGAGCTGCCATTGTATCTCTGCCCATCCCCCTCCCTTCTCCTGGCCTCTGGCTCTGCCCTCCCCAGCCAGTCTCTGCTTGCTCCATAGTCTCCCTCCAGCCCCCCCACAGCCCCTCCCCCACATCTCCCCTTTTCTTCCCTTTATCTG